TATACATACATATCATATATGCATTATAACATATATACATACTTATGTATATATACACACATATACATATATACATACTTATATATACACACACATATATACATATATATATATACATAATATATAGACATATACGTATATATATACATAATATACATACTTATATATATACATACTTATATATCTACATATATACATATATATACACACATATACATACTTATATATATACATACTTATATATATACATATATATATATACATATATATACATATATATATACACATACTTATATATACATTTATATATACATACTTATATATATACACATACTTACATATATACTTATATAGGCCTATATATATACTTATATATATACACTTATATTCTTATATACTTATATATAATGTACACTTATATATAAGTATATATACACACACATAAACATATATATATATACATACATATGTATATATATAAATATATATGTATGTATATATATATATAAATATATATGTATGTATATATATATAAATATATGTGTATGTATATATATATATAAATATATATATATGTATAAATATATATATGTATATATGTTTATAAATGTATACGTATATGTGTATATATATATACGTATATATATATACATATATGTATATATATATGTATATATATATACATATATATACATATATGTATATACATATATGTATATATATATATATATATATTACACGTATATACTTCTAAAAGTCGTGTATCATGCATAGGAACGTTGACGCCTGCAAGGCTCTGGTTATTTTTGTTGTCGATTCCTATATATTATGTACTAGGCCTACTACTATTGCCGCCTAGGCTAAGAAGGCCTGCCCTAGCTAGCCTACTACTTCTACTACTACTACTACTACTACTACTACTACTACTACTACTAGGCCCTACTGCTACTACTACTAGGCCTATGACATAGCCTGGGCCTAGCTAGCCTACAAGCTTATGTGAGTTTCATCCATGTACGGTATGGCTTTCATATTTTTGTCACAAAAAAACAAGATAACCAGACATTTGCCTTACCAGGGCAGGGCAATATGTAAACATAGGGGTCTATACCTCCTGCCTCTTATGCAGGCCATTTAATTAAGCTGCATTTTTAAAAAAATCAAAAACAACATATGATAGTAACTGATTACTGGATAGGATAGGCTAGGAATAAATGCCATGGCCCAGGTCTGAACATTTTGTGTATACAGTAGGTAATAATCATGGTCAAATTTTTTCTCAAGCACAATGACATTTGCCATGACAGTCAAATAGGGCCTGCACATGGAATATTCTCTGGGCAAAATATAGGCATAGAAATGTTGTCCTCGCTGGTTTCCACACAGATTTTTGCAGAAAATTAGGCCCTGGCCTATCCCTAATAAAATATAACCAATGGATGCAGTAGGCTACAGTAGTTACAGTTCTGTACACCTATTTTTCGCGCAAATGTGAGCCACTTTTTGATGGTTCGTTTGTTCATTTTGGTTAGTAAAATGGTATCAATTCATTAATTAATAAAGCTTCTATTAATATTTTGAGCTTGAAATTTTTGGTTTGTGGAGTTTGGGCAACACCAAGTTTTTTTGGCGTCATTATGCATACACTGACAATTTTAGAGGACTAATTTTAGTTTCTGTTTCTTCTTTATTCAGCTATGTACCAATATGACTCAAATGAGACTGCAGTGATACGCCAGTAAAATGCAGGCCAGAAGGAAGAGTGCATCAGTGATTGAGAAGGCCCAAGGTCTACTCAAGCAGTCACGGCGCTTGAGTTATGTACCACCAGTTGCCACAGTTAAAAATACAGAAGGCTCTGAGCTTGATGTAAGTACAGTAATGCTAATTTAAAATTAAAACATTTTTGACTGTGCATGCTTTGTCTGTAAAGGATTGAATCCAGGCATGTGCTGTGTCAACGGCCGTCGGTCGACGTGATGCCACAGAGAATTCAGTGCGACAAAATGCGCAAAACAGATCAATTGAGGCATGTCATGGCAAAATGGTTAAGTTGTCTCACAGTCCAGTATTGAGTAAATGAGCTATAAAATATGGGAGCTCAAAAAATTGCCTAAAAATCCAAATTTGTTTTTCATTATAGATCAAAAGTTTAATGTCTTATTAATCATGTACCAAAGTATTAGTTCTGGAAGTGGTCAACAAATTGTTTATTTAATGTTATTTTGATAGTTCATTCTATTAAACAATGTATACACAAATAACTTTGAAAGGCAAATTTACTCAAAATCATGTTTATCTTGACTCTAAGAGTACTGTACTTTCACTTTCCAATAACTTAGTCTTGAAATGTCCAATTTCAATGAATGACCCCTCATTTTAAAGATCACATGCTCAGGTATATGAAAATACAAACAAATTGAATTTCAATTTTTGCTACAACTTGGCCATTTTGCCACAACATGCCTCAGTTATAATGACTATATGTTCAGTCTGTTATTAACAATCTGCAGCGTTGTGTCATCAAGCGTTTACCGAGAGCAGAGGTGGATTCGTTAGTCGACGGCCATACAACACAGTGTGTGCTCAGCTTAGAAAAACATTAACCTCCTCCCTAAGCCCTGCAAGTTTGTACAGACTAACCAACTAACCAACAATTGCTAGAAAGATTCCAAATTTGATGCTATTGTAAAAGAACTGGGCAAGTTTGGCCATTTAAAGAAGTTTTGAGAAAAGATAATTAAAAAAACATGCTTTTTCTTTTCTGCTTCGGGGCTTGGTGATTGGTGAGCCTTAGCGGGTATGATCACTGTATAGCTGTAGAGAATAGAGTGAATATGTCCTTAATAAATTTTTTAACAAGTAAACCAATAAGTTGATGTTGAACGATGCAAGCGTTAAGTCTTGTTGTCAGCAAGACTTCATCAGGCTGAATGAGACGTTTTTTGTTTGTAAAACGTTACAAGTGTGACACCTTCATATCGCCGGCTTTGGTCCTGTGGGATACAGAGTCCCCCAGCCTGTCAGGTTGTAGAATTGAATATGAGTGACACATTGATTTATCACTTGTACCGCATGTTCTATTTCTTTCATTTTTTCTTTGTTTAGGCATATCTGTCACAGCTGTCATTGAAAACCTCAGGAACACCAATTAAAAAAACTAAGTCTGTCATTGATGGTCTCAGCGATTTAAGTTTAACTACTGATGATGAAGATATTAACCCAGAACAGAGAGTAGTACAGAGCAGGTTTGTTAAGAAGAGCCTAAGCCAGACTCTTACCAAGCCCGTCTCTAGTGTTGAAGGTTTGGTTGCAGATTCTACCAAACGGAGACCAGTTTCAGCATCTGGGAAACTTAACAGAACAGCACCCTCATACAGCTCATCTGCACTAAATAAAGCCGCTGCCTTCACAGCTAAGTATGCGTCAAAGAAAAAATCTGCTCAGATTGTTACTTCAGATGACAGTGACATCAACGAGGACATCATTGCTGAAATTACCAATAAGAAGTTAAATGTTAAATCAGATTCATCTACAAAATTTAAAGGTGCAAAAACAGAAGCAGATAAAATTAAAGGTTTACAAAGTTTAACAACTGTTGGTCAACCGGAGAAGTTTTCAAAAAGTAAACATTATGTCAGTAATATGCACTCACTTTCACCAAAGAGAGATGCCTCATCTGATGAACGTAAGGAAGAGCTTAACACTCCTAAAAGTAAGTTCCTTAAAAAGTCTGCACAGACAGCAGGTAAATCTGTGGACAAGAAAAATTGGAGTAGCCACCTCAAGAAAACAGTTACGAACAAAGTTCAAACATCAACCCCTAAGAAAATAGAAAAGACTCCACCTTTAGAGTCGTTAAAGACTTTTGATGATAGTGATGATGAGATGCAGGCATTTATCATAAACTTATCACCAGTTACTTCACCTGATATTCCACCAATCAAAACACAACAGACATCAGCAAGATCAGCACACACCTCCAAAAAGGTTAGTACAGGAGTAAAGGCAACTCTACTTAACCGATATAGTCGCCAGTAGCGCTCTTGTCACTCCCGACTGTAAATTACCTTATATTATTAGCCAATCATGACGTCATCACTGCAACTCCCAGTGTTATTAGCCTATCCCCAAAAGTGCAATATTTTTCGACTTGAACTTTTTTCCAAAAGGTCAAAACCACTGTCAAAGTACGTACTGTATCACGCACCATGGTGAAAATTGAATTTGAAAATTACTTTTGTAAAACAAGGTCGATTATAACCCGAAGAAATTTACTTCAAATTCAATATAAGGTATGAACAATTAAGTAATTCCTTGAATCAATGCACCCTAAACAAGCTAATGAAACTGAACATTTATTAGGAATATTCTAGACCTATTTTAAAGACTCATTGAACGAAATCACCAGTTGCTTTGAATTGCAGATAGAATATAAGCAATTGAAAGCAATTTGTGATTTGCAATTGCTTAAAATAGAAAGAAATACTCATGTCACACAACCCACTGGCTAGCTGCCAAATTTTTGCCGAAGTTCAATTGATGGTAGTTGACTTGATTTGAGTCGACTTTGATGGTAGTTGACTTGATTTGAGTCGACTCTCAATAAGCGACATATTGTCAGCTTAGCTGAACCTTTTGCATTTTAATGATTTTAAACATTGTTTTCTGGTTAATTGGGTAAATTGAATTCAAGGTGCTATGTACAGTAGTGTCTGATGTCAAGAGACAACTCTGGCAGTATTAACTAAAATCTGAGATAAAAAAATCACTGGTCAAGTACAGTAGTCAACGTCCATTTACAATCCTGGTGCGTTGAGACGTATGTTTGCTTTTATTTTATACTGTCAATATCTGACATATTTTTTCTCAGGTTAAAGAAAATGTAGAAGAACCAAAAGAATCTGAAGACATTGACAATGATTTAAGTACAGACAGTAGTATTCCAGAGGAAGACAACAAAAGTCTTGTAGGTTAGTGTTCTCAGTGTCACATAACGCAAAATCTAATAGAAAATTGTAGACTTGTAGAAAAGCAAGTTAAGTCAAATTGTAATCTTAATATCCACAGGAGACATTGGCACTTGTGGTATTTACTTTATTTGGCAACTGTGTTTTTTGTTTTTTTTTTGTCTTTCGTGGGTGTTTCGCACTTTTATTGTTAGTGTTAATCAATGATATAATATGTTTTCCAAAGTTATACACAGTTATTATTATACACATGGTACCTACACTTTTTACATCCACTCATAATATAATTAAAATGACTGATAAAATTAATTCAAGGATTTCATTTTAACCTTGTTTTTTATATATATATTTTTCCATTCTTTCCCAATGTTATATATTTAAGCTTTCGTTTTTGAGAAATTATTGTCTTGGTCTTTGAAAGTTATAACTTTTCTCATGTTTTTTTGGCAACTGTTAATTTCTTTATTCCAAATTCCAATTTTGTTTTTGTAGGATTTCACTCACATGTTCTACAAATGACAGACTTACAAGAAGTGATTTCAGAGGTTAGTAACACAGAGAAGAAATTTGCCAAACAGAATGCACCGGAAAAGAACCAAAGAGGGTTAACTTCTCGATCCTCAATTTCAAGTTTCCGCACAATTGGTGGAGATAGTGATGAAGACATTGTAGAGGAAGTCCAGACAGAAAGGTCTATATCAGGCATCAGAAGGTTTGGTCTGCAGACAATCAATGATCTCAGAGATACTGCTTCCACCAAGTCTGAGAGTTATGCCAGTGATTTTGAAAGTGATAGCGAGATACTCACAGAGAACGCAACTTCTGAGAAACAAAGTGCTCAAATATGTGAAACAATTGTGGAGCAATCATATTCACACTCTTTTGAAAAGAGCAGTAGTAGTATTAAGAAGAAAAAGAGGTCTGTAAGAGATTCATATTCTACATCCTTCAGCACTCAAACTCCAAGAAATGAATCGCCACATTCAAAACATAAGGGGAAGGGTCAGAGAAGCTTCAGTTATACTGAAGACTTTGATAGTGACTCAAGAAAAACAGATTCAGAAGTGGAAGACCTTCCTAGAGATGCATCAAGAACTGAGACTTTCAGTCAAAGCTACACATCTGAAACCAGGACATTGACAATTACTCCAAGAACAGCAAAGCGCCGCTCCAGAGTTCCTGGCATTGATGTTGGAACCCAAGTGGATGCAGGAGGTCTGCAGTACCAATGGAATCCTAGTAAGATCTAATTCGCCAAAATAATTTACGTGCATACACATTATTTACAGATTGTTTATAACCCTCCTGGTGTACACATTTTGTGTGTTTGGAGTTCAATTTTAAGGACCTCAATAATTTAGTGATTTTAGTGACCTTGTTGATTTTGTTGTATTTCAGTTGCACAAACCTGAACGATGGTGCATTCATACATAATACAGTCATATAAGATATAACCACGTAAACAGTAATAGTAAAATAGAATGTGTTGTGTAGAATAAACAAAATTTAAAATCTTAAAATAGGAATAACTAACAGTGATTGATTGAAGTTCATAATTTAATTTTAATATTTTTCCATGTAAGTCAGTCAAAATTTAAGAAAGAAGAATATTATATTTGGATTTCAACATGTTTTTTTAGGAGTAACAAAAGCTACAGTGTATTGACCTTTACTTAAGCCCCATCTACAGATTGGGTGACCAGTATTAGGTGATTTTATGTCTGTGTGGATATATTTTATTTATTTATAAATTTATTAAGCATCCTCACTGCACTGAGAACAAAAGTAAAAATAAAAAAGGAAAGGATGAGCAAGCGAGAAGCACCCCTATCTACTGTACATTCCCCCTTGAACAACAAATGTATCCACACATCAGACAGAAATGAGATGTGGAAAATTGCACGTAATAAGATACAAAAAAAAAAACTACATAAAAGTATATAAAAAAAATATAAACCAGTGTTCTCCTTAAGCTGTTTTAGCCGTCAATTTTACCAGACTTATATATAATTTACCAACCAGTAAAAATTGTGTTTTGGTAGTATAAAAAATGCACTTTAACTAGGCCTAGGTAGTCTAGGCTGGCCTTCGTTTTATAAATGAACATTATTCCAGTCCAGGCCTAGGCTATGATTATGTATTTACTTTATTTATATGCTTACCTGGCTCTATATGAACAAATTTACTAGTAAAACTTTTTTCTATTGGGAGAACACTGTATAAACACATTAAACATATAGAGTATATATTTTTAAATTATTACAAGACAATTATTAATTTATTATTTATTTAATTAAACTAAAAGATATAACAACATAGGATATTATACAAAAAGTGTAGTTATTAAATTATTAATTTGTTTATTTACAATAGAAAAATATGATATAAAAAAAATACATATAAAATATATAATTATAAAAAAAAAGAAGTTAAATTAAACTACTGTATTATTATTAATGATGTGTATAATACTGATGTGGGACTATGTTGATCAAGGATCGTTGACCAAGCTTCCATAAGTTGTGGCAGAGCATTGCAAAGTATTTTTTTTTTTTGAAGATGAAGGAGTAGCAGTGCTTGGTCCGTCACTTGGCCTTGGGTATACTGACCCAACACCGGTGGCTAGCCACGTCATTTCCCCTGACGCCCTGGAAGGTACGACAATTTTTAATTGTGTTGTGTTATACTCTCATACACATTACACAATAATGTAACTTTGACTTTGTTTATTCATACTATACTTGGCACACACATTACCAATGCTAATGAGATATAACTTTGTACAGAAGGATAGTTTAATATGAGCCATGCTCATCACTGCAGTAGCAGGTTATTGTTAATTTTCCATCTTTTATATATGGTAACTCATATATTTATTATCCACAGATGGCCATAAAAACTAGCAATTATAATATAAAGTACTGTATATTATCAAAAAAATTAAAGAGTATACAATAATGAATATTATAGTCCCTGAGATTGATTGAATATAATTATAATACTTATAATACATTAAGTTTTTATAAGGGCATTAATAAATGTATACCGTATTTATTTGCATAAATGCCCCGCTTTGAATAAACACCCTCTTGAATAAACAACCCCTCCAGAGACCCTCACATGGAATAAAAGCTTTCCTCGAATAAACGCCTTATTTCTTCCTCAAATAAACTCCCATGTAAATGACTGTAAAACAAAACATTCTCAATGCATTCTATTTATATTCTACAGAATCAAGTCTTTATGATCACGCAATAACACATTTTGACGGTAATTATGTGTTGCACCTGCACATTTACAGTGAAATTAAGTGGCATTTTACACCAAAAAAAAAATAAATGCCTCCCTCGAATAAACGCCCCCTCAAAAGCCTTTATTTGAATAAATACGGTGTATTTAGCACAACGACTTGTTCATTTTTTCCTGGCACAAAACATATTGACAATATTACTATTATTTATTATTATTTTGTCTGTTGGGAAAATGATACAGCTATAGATAATTTCTGTATTGGTTTATTACACAGCATTGACTGGTTACAGTCCGAGCGTCCTTGCCATGAATAATATGTTGCGAGCTCAGTTAATTGCCACACAGTCAGCCATCCAGAACATGAATCGACTACATCATCAGCTAATGAACTCCATCTCTGAAGATTACCAATACACAACCCTTGAAGAAACCAGACAGGTACGGGCAAATAGCCTTCTTATTTTTTGTTCCATAGCCATCAAAATAAGAATTGCCCATCACCTGTAAGTATCAGGGTTGGCGGATCCACGATTTGAAGGAGTGGGGGGGGGGGGTTCAAAGTGTTTCCAAAAAAGCCAAAAAAAAAGCAGGGGTCCTCCCCTTAGAAAATTTGGATTCCTAGATGACCGAAATTGACTCTTTCTGAATTCTAAATTGTCTTTTAATGATTTGTAAGTTCTTCAACATTCAAGGTTTCCACACTCTTAAAAAAGGTCAGGTAATTTTATGTCATTATTTTTACAGTAAGTAGGTCTATTATATGTGTATACTGTATACAGAAAAGAAAATCAGAGACATAGACAATATTATTATTATATTCCAATATTGAGTAGTTGGTACATACTGTAGTCTTCCTTCCATGGGCCTGAACGCACTTTTCATTTTATATAATTGATGGCTAGCTACGGCTAAGCTTGGTTTGTCTGATCTGCCCAACTAGTGGTAGGTAAGTTAGCATGCCTTTTGTAGGTCAGAACCCAGTAGTATTTTGTTACTTTTCTCCACAGAGGAGGGTTTTGTCCTCTATGGATATAAAGATGCTCAAACAAACAAGAAAAACACACTCATACACACATGATACCAAGTCTCATAAACCAAGTCTCGAATGAGGCTAAGGAGCAGAGGGCAAGTGAGCTAAACTCCTATACCATAAATTGACAATTTCATGTGTAACACTACTTGTAAAGACATCAGACAGTATAATGTAATATAATCAGTGGCGTAACACCTATTTGTAATAACGAGTCAATTGCAATAAAAAATTATCTATGCAACTTTTGTATAAATTCTAAATGTTAATTATGTTTAATTATGTATATGAATGTCTATTAGATAAACAGTTGCATAATAATAAGTATATACACTGTACCTAATAGACATTCATAAACATAATTAACCATAATTAACATTTAGAATTTAAATGAAAGTTGCATATATAATTTTTTGTTGCAATTAACACATTATTACGCCATGGTATATGTATAAGACATTCATATACATAATTAAACATAATTAACATTTAGAATTTAAATGAAAGATGCATATAAGTATTTAATTTTTATTTGATACGTTTTAAAGCATTCTCGGTACATAATTAACCATAATTAACATTTAGAATTTAAATGAAAGTTGCATATATAATTTTTTGTTGCAATTAACACGTTATTACGCCATGGTACAGTATATGTAATAGACATTATTATACATAATTAAACATACTTAACATTTAGAATTTAAATGAAAGATGCATATAAGTATTTAATTTTTATTCGATACGTTTTAAAGCATTCTTTGTACATAAATAACCATAATTAACATTTAGAATTTAAATGAAAGTTGCATATATAATTTTTTGTTGCAATTAACACGTTATTACGCCTTGGTATATGTAATAGACATTCATATACATAATTAAACATAATTAACATTTAGAATTTAAATGAAAGAAAGCAAAAACTGGCGTGACACCGGAGCCAAACCCCATTTACACTTAACGAAGAAACTGCGGGATGATCTTGGGTTACCCCCACTTACAATTGAACACAAACACCGGTGTTGAACGCTGCCCTCAATGAGCATTTTTGAGGAAAACTAGCTCATTAATCTGCAATCAAGTTTAGTTTCGAAGGGGAAAATCATTTTAATTTATTTGTACGCTAAAAACAGAATTAGTTTCTAAACAAAAATACAATCCAAAGCAATAAAATATAACTTAAATTATTTTTTATAATTTTTAACTAAATACCTTCAAAATATATAAATAGTTATATTATTACAAAAAAACTGAAAATTGGATAATAAGTGGATGATTAAAATCCTGGTTTGTGAAAGGCGGGACTGTTTACACTGTGTGTTTCGATATCAACGGGACTATCCCGGAGAAGCTTCTCCTGAAAACATTCAGCTTCTTTGAACTCGGGTTTTGCACACTGGAGTTGTTGATGTTCACCCATTTACACTAACCCCAACTCCGGTATTTGAAACCCGGTGTATCGACAACGGGAAAGTAAAAGCGGGTTTATTCCGGAGTCCAGCTGATAGTGTAAAAGGGGTATTATTAATCAGTAAAATTCTATTTTTATAAATCCTAATTTTGAGGTATTGGTAATGATTGTCATGTAAAGTACAATATGAATCTTTGGAGTTTTTAAAAAGATTTTAAAAATGTCTTTATTTTCAGTACATAAACAAGCACAGGCAGCCACGATTAACCATGGAGGAGGCCCTCAAACAAGTCAAGGGGGAAATGGATGATGGTTATAGGTAATGGCAGATGGCAGGCTGTAGCCTCAGTGTGCCAGTGAACATTTTAACATGTACTCTACATTACTGGCAGTGGCGGGGCCAGAAATTTGCTGACAGGTGGTCGGACGTGTCCGATGGAAGGGTCTGAACCAAGTCCATGAAGAAGCCTCGGTCGGTTGACTGCTAAGAAGAAAAAAAATTGCCTGTTAGGGTTCATGGGGAGAGTTTTTATGGCTAAATTTGGTCTCCAACTAAGTACTGGCCTTGACTGCCGGCTTGATTCTTCCATCTTCTCATCTCACCTATTTTGGTATTAAACTGGTATAGAGGGCTCTCTTAATTGTATAAAAGATGTGATGCACTATAGACTAATTCCTGTTACAAAGTTTAGGGAGTGGAAAGGTTTTCAGTTGTGAGTAAAAAATCCTTATCTGTCTCAGGATTTGAACCCATGACCCTGCTATTTGAAGTCAAGTATCTTAACAATAATACCAAAGATTTGTATAGCGCCAATTCCAAATCAATGATCAAAGGCGGCGAGTGTTAATACCCCTGGTCACTGGATAACATACAACGGCAAACCAGAACAAAGTGCAACCTTGTCTGCTCCATGGGGAGTATTCCTAGTCGTGCGTGTATAATAGGCGCAAAAAACTAGTAACACTTAATGCCACAATATCTTACCAGGTACCTATTTATACTCCCGGGTAGACAGAGAAAAAACATAGAAAAAGTACCTTGCCCAAGGAGACAAACGACTCGCAGAGCGAGAGTTCAGAACCCTTGACTAAACAACTAAGCTACTTTCTACACATTAAAGTACAGTATTCAAAGACATTTTTGAACTAAAACATTTTTAGTAATGTTCAATACTGACAATGCAGTTAATTTGAAATAATATAAAATACAGTCCAATAATTTAACAATATGGCAATAAGAAGACTACTTTCATGTTGCATTTTATTGTTGGCATCTGCCAATATGAATTTTAAGAATGCCGTCCATATGCAGTTGCCATAGTAACTGGAATTCAGATGTCATATTGTGCTTTTTGGCCCAAGGCAAGTGCTCGTAATAGTGATATTTCACGTCATGTGGTTCAGGGTAATATCGTTTATGAAATGGCCAGAAACCAAATAGATGAACTTCATCGCAAAGGTCTAAAGCTGTCGTTGCTAAATAGAATCCTGTTGGGAGAAGACGAGTTTATAAATTGTTGGTTTTGTAACAAAATATTTCATCTGTTGAAAAATATGTATTTGTTTGCAATGTTTAACAGTTAAGCTGGTTTTCCACTAGACAAATTTATTCTCGCGAATCAAAGTGTCGGTTTGCTTCCTGAGCTCTGATTGGTTGCGCATTTTTTCGCTTTGCAGAAACTCCGATAAAGATGTGAATGCGCATTCGCATGAACCGACGCTTTCGATTCGCGCCAATAAATTTGCCCAGTGGAAAACCGACTTTAAAATACCGTAAAACCTCGAATTGAAGCCCTGGACTTCAACTTTTTTCAAATATTGGATGGGGTCCTTTTCGAGATGAGCTTCTTTTCGAGGCTACTATTGCAAAGTAAAGAGGGTGGGGGGGGGTATTTTTAAAATGAACACATACTGTAAATTCTGGGAATTTGTACTATAAAACAATAAATAAGGCCACTGTAACACCAATCTGAATCATTGGATTGTATTAACCAGCATTAACTCGCAAACTACAGTATAAACCAAGCGTGTTTTTAATTTATTTTGTTTTTTTGAAATTCATGTACAGTGTATGTACTGTATTGTATCGAAAAGAAGTCCATTATATCTTAAAAGGAAGGCTAAATTTTTGCAAAATAAAGCTTCTCAAGATTAAGCCCATTGGGCTTTAATTCAAGGTTTTACGGTATTTTATATGAAATGAAATTCCTCTTATTTAAACCTTTTGACAAAGATACTAGAAATACAAGATAGAGCACTCGCATAGCAAAAATGAGGTGCAAATTGGTGCAGACGTACGCGGCGCCCTTCTCTTTTTAATACAGTAATGCAGGTTTTCTATACTTGGTCCAGACGTGTAGGGCGCCCTTCTGTTGCTAAGTATATCCAGACGCACACGGCGCCCTTCTTTTTCCATTAATGGGGGAAAACGTTTTAACTAATCAGAGTCCGGTCATACGATTCTGCGCTTTTTTGTGTCATTTTATTGTTTTGATTTATTTAATGCCTACTTATTGTTTCTTATGGATAATGGTAACGATTTCTCTCTGTGCAAAAGGAGATTATGTATTCACAGTTGTGTAACGCTGGCGTAAGTTTTTACCACCAAATATGGGCATATCACTGTTACTAGACGCATAAAATTTGATCTGGACAAAGCTTGCACTAAGAGATAAGGAAAATGATGAATAGTTCATTATTTCATTTATATTTTATTTATTTTTTTATTTTTTTATTTATTTTTTTAAATTTTTTATTTTATTTTTTTTTTAAATTATTATTTTGTTTATACTTTTGGCTGACCTGAAAATGCATTTTCATGTATTATTACTGTACTTTTATTAAAAGTTATTAATAAAAATTAATACAATTGATTGTTGATAAAGTATTGTGTTGTACAGTTATTTATTCAATTGGTTTTCAATGGACAGTACTATTTTTATTATTTTGGCTCATATTGCATTGTCTTAAAGATTGTATTATTTAGTAAAAAATATGTCAAGAAGTGACTGGGTGAGCAACACTGTTATCTGATTCTTTATTAAAGTGATAAAGCAGTATGACTGCCAATAAATTAACTTCATACTTTACAATCTTTTTTTCTTGTTGGCTTATGCTTTTAGAATTAAATGTAATATACTGTACTTTTCTTCTAAAAACCACTGCCTGGATATTGTTGCTATGGTCACAGAAAATCGTCAGCATAAACGTACGTAAACCCGTTGGTGTGACAAAACGTGTATTTTTGGGGAGAAGCGCGTATTGCTGGGCCTTCACTGATTGGTCGGTTTTGTCAAGTTTTATTAATACTCCGAGAAGGTCCATTATTTGCAACAAATGATTTTAGCGAGGACTTATATAATAATAATAAACTGTACAAATCTCGGATTTTAGAACAATTCATCTAGATTTCAGAGCATAGATGAATTTGTTTTTCTCTCACCTGTTGATGGCCAGGTCTGTAGGCCTCTTTTCTCCCAAAATCTCCAAATAGCTTTGAAATGTTCCGGATGACCGAAAACTATTTTCGAGTTGGTTGTCCGGTGGTGGTGATAAGCCCTGAAGCATGTTCTTGTCCAGTAGTTGTCCCCAAATACAGGAATCCATATCAAACCTGTTTGTCTGGACGTGTCTTCACGGAAATCACTTATGTTTTGAATTCTGTCAAATGTGTTGTATCTACGGTAAACAATAAATGGTTTGTTTTTGTTTTATTCAATATATTCCTCAGTGGCACCCTAAAAGGTACAGCCTTAGGTACAACCATATTTAGCATAACGGTGGCAGTACAAGAATGCAATTGAAAAAAAAACAAAAACAAAGATAAGATCAATCTAGCAAATGCATATTATAATATTAAAACTTCGATTTGAATTTCCTTTTGCACATTCTTTTGCACAAAAGTTTGCACGAAAATTTGCACAAAAGCGTAGACGTTTTATGGAAAAGAAAACTCAAATCAAATGCAAATGAAGACAAAAAAACTTAATCAGTTAATATTTAAACTCATACACGTACTTTTAGAAAAAAAAGGAGTGCTTAAGGGGTTCTTAATTTGTCCTCTATATAGAACCCCTGTAGCATCCTTTAATGGTTCGAAGAATGAGAAAAATAGGTTCGCAAAAAGGGTGCTTCGAACCATTTTAGGTCGTTAAAATGTTTTGAGAACTATTTACAGAACCCTTCAAAATAAAGAACCTTTTTACATTGGGGGTTCCATATACAGGACAGCCAAGAACCTCCGAAGAAGTATTTCTAAGAGTGTATAATTAGCCTGTCTGTATCTTGAGGATATTCCGGCACGTTTAAAATCGTAACGGTACTGGGGTTGGCCTACAGGAG